ATTATTGAAATTTTTGTCAGCGCTTTGCACACCACTGCCAAATCCTTTTTTGGACTGCACATGAGGACACCACGAATTTGAATCACTCATTGTGCCGATGTAGCAGGAGAAGGGGGGCGATTCAGTAGGCTTGCAGCAGGTTGTCAATCTCTCATTAGCTGGCTTCCCTCTCTGACGGTCGAGTGCAGCTCCAGCAGCAGCTCCAGCAGCAATTCCAGCAGCAGATGCAAACACAGGTTTGCAAGCCCTGTGTTGCCCTATATCGTAACAACCGGCAGATGTCTGGGCAAGGACAAGGCAACGATGGTCATGGATTGGAGCAGCAGCAACAGCTGCTGCAGCAACTTCAACAGGTGCAAATAAATTATGCCAAGAATCGATGCTCGTCACCTTAGTCTAACTGTCTCATTGATTTTCAATACTTGGTTTGCTACGTTGTTGACTTGTGTCTTGTTCCTCTCAGCTTCAAGGAACTGGTGTTCAGGAGCAATTCGCTCTCTTGCAGCAGCAGCTTCAGGGTCAACTCCAACAACAGGTGAAAGGATGACAGACTCGGAATCTTTGTCTCACGTGTGCGACAGCTGCATCAGCAACTCCACCAACAGCTCCAGGAGAGTCCAGGTGTGCCTTAGCTTAGCGCTTCTGGTTCATCCACTTATGCTCTCCTCAGCTGGCCAGCAGCAGCACTTGAATCCGTTGCAGATGCAACTGAAGTTGCAGAACGACAATGCCACCAACCAGCAGGTACGTGGCTTATGCCTATGATGACCGTTGTGACCACCTCCTCAGCTCCAACTCCAGCTGCAGCTGCAGTCCCAGCTCCAGCAGCAGGTGGATGCTGCGCAACGACGCTGCTGGCGTCTTGACATTGCTTAGGCTGAAATGGGAGCGTCGGCTCAACAGCTCCAGCTTCTTCAGCAGCAGGTACATCTGTCGCTTGCGTGTCAATCCCGCTTACCTGGTGCAGGCTCAGCAGCTTCTACAGGCACACATTCTGCTCCCTTGGGTGCTGGATGTGACTATCTGTACAGATGCAAGAACAGTCCAGTGGCATGGCGCAGGCCCAGCAGCTCCAGCAGCTCCAGCAGGTCTGAGCCATGACAGTAGGGATGGTTGGGGGCTCTGACGCCACGCCAGTTACAGCAATGGGCTGATCAGTACCGGAACCAGCAGTCAGGGATGCAAGTCTCCCAGGGGCAGGTGAGCTGTCTGATTTGCCCGTTACGTTGAGCTCACAGTTGGCGTTGACCAGCTCCAGTCACACCTGCAGCAGCTGTTGCAGCAGCAGGCTGAGGTTTGTTCAGATGCTGCCCATCTTGCGTCCTCTCACTGGATCATGTAGCTCGGAGGGGCTGACGTGTCCGGTGGAGCTGCAAACTTCCAGCAGCTCCAGCAGCTCCAGCAGCTCCAGCAGCATCTGCAGCAGCAGGTAAAAGAGAAGAGGCATTGGGCATGATCTTCCATGTGTGTAGCGGAATTCCGTTGTTTCATGTTCTCTTGCTGAATCATTTCTGTTAATTTCAAGCCAAAACTTGATTTTTGAAAATCTTTTTCATCATTCTCGACCTACAAATGCTAATCGGGGATGGGCAGGGTGGTTTGGCAGGCTTGACGCAGCAGCAGCAGCTTCAGCAGCAACAGCAACAGGTGACTATTCAACACTGTGATCAGCTAGAACGGGTGACATGGTTCCAGCTCCTGCAGCAGCAGCAGCAGCAGCAGCTCTTCCAGCAACAGGTAAAGTCTCCCCTCCATTATCCTTGCAGGTCCGCTCACACTCTTGCCTAGGCTGATCAGAGAAACATGCAGCTGGGTGGAATTGAGACTGGCCAGATCCTCCAGGCCCTTGCTTCAGTCCAGCAGCAGGTGCAAGTCAAGTCTTCTCCTTTCCCTCCCGCTGCTCACATCGCCGCAGGCGCAGTCGTTGCAGCAGCAGCAGCAGCTGCAGCTACTCCAGGCCATGCAGGTTCCGCTGTCGTTACTTCGATGAGAGCTTGCACTGACAACTGGTGAAAAGATCCCTGGCATCACACAAGACCAGATTCAGCAGATCCAGCTTCTCCATCAGCAGCAACTTCAGCAGCAACTTCAGCAGCAGGTTCAATTTCTGACGTCTCCCCTCTTCTCGTCTCATTTGCTTCCAGCAACAACTCCAGCAGCTCCTCCAGCAAGCCCAGCAGCAGCAGCAGCAGCAACAACAACATCTTGCTCACGGCAACTCACAACCTTCCTCCAATGTAGGAGCAAACAACCTTGTCGCGCAGCCGTCGCTTGCCATGAGCTCTCAGGCTCAGGGAGGGCTCCAACAAGTCTCGCAAGCAATGCAGCAGCTGCACCAGAGTCACGGCGGAGCGTCTCCCATGCTCGCTCAAGCCCGAAGACCCGAGCAGGTGCTTGCCATTGGAGTTTGTGTTGTAGATGTCTTGTTTCAGAGGGTGTGCTGCAGCCGTTGTGTTTGGGTTCTCAATGCCTATAATGTGACGTAGCGGTTTCAGGATGACATGAGAGCCAAGAAAATCAAGCAGGAGGATCTGGCGGGGAAGAGTATGCTTCCTTCTGACCCCATGAAGAAGCTTGTGCGCAAGAAGGAGGGGATGGAAGGCGAAGACAAGTCAAAGCCCTCCATGGTCGATGAAGGAGCCCTTGGTTCGATGAGTGCGGTACGTCGTAGACAGATGAAGGAAGGGAGGTGACTGGCGCTGCTGCAGATGCTTGAAGAAGCTACCGAGTTTCTGAAGCAGCAGAAGAAGAAGCCGCTGGAGGGCGGTGGGCCGGGCTCGAAGCGCGCTGCCTCTGCCATGGACAAGGACCAGGACGAGTCAGACATGAAGTGGATCTCTGGGGGTGACTTCTCCGGCATCAAGAAGACTCCTCGTCCTGCCTCGCTTAAGCCGGGAGCAGGCGATAAGAAGGTGCCGAAAGAGAGACGTTGGTCTCCGAGCTGATGATTGTGAGCAGGTGCTGGCAGAGAACAACACGTTCCTCAGTGCGTTTGGCAGCAAGGGGCTTCCATTCCAGCTCCCCTCCTCTGAATTCCTTCCCTCCGCTTCCTCTGAGTCGAGAACCCTGGCCATCACCGACAAGGACCTAAAGTACATCGTCCTCGTCCTGATGCAGGAGACGCTCTACACCGGCATGCTGCAGGACTGGGAGCATCTGCTGGGAGGAGGAGCGAGTTTGAACCTCGTCCAGGAGACTCTGAGCATCCTTTCGGTGGCGCAGGACATCTCACAGAGCGACCTTAAGTCCATCCTGCGGGTGAAGGAGAGGGGCCTGAGTGAGGCGTGGAAGCGCATCTGGACGGCCCTGCAAGAGACCCTCGGCTGCACCTCGAAGAACCTCCTGTCCTTCGCTCAGACTGCGCTGCGTCTTGCAGTCGAGAGGCGCTACATCCTCTCCAGCGAGCACAGAGCTCAGGTTCAGTCGAGGCTCGCGCAGCACATGGGCTCCAAGGCCGGCCAGGTGTTCGCGCAGGAGCTGGGAGGTGACTGGGCGAAGCTCAGGATGTACCTCTCTCGCTCCCTTGCGAGCCTCGAGGAGGTGAGGCCGAGCCTGCTGTTCTCTTGGAAGGGAAGGGATTTTCTTGACCTGCTTCCTTGTCGTCTTCCCCTCCTCTCTCTTCCTCAGTCTTCTCCTGCTGCTCCCTTCTACCTTCGCTTTTCGCCCTCACCTGCTCCTTTTAGGGCTTCGCACGGGAGGCGCTCAAGCCTGACCAGGCGGAGAAGAACTCCGACGAGCCCACGGGAGTGATCAAGTCCTGCATCATCATCGCGCGCTTCCTCGGAGACTCCGGGCAGTTCAGGGAGGCAGACATCCTCTTCGATCGCGCTCGTATCCTAGCGATCAAGGGAGGCAACAAGCACTTCTGTGCCGAGGTGAGTGCCGTGACCCATCCCCTTCTCCAGCTCATCCCCAGCAGGTCTCGCTCTACTGTGCTGAGCTGCTCAACAAGTGGAGCGCCTCTGACCCGGCCTACTCCATTGACACCATGGCGCGCTCGGCCGAGTACGCCTCAGAGGCAGCACAGCTGTATGAGGGCATCGACATGTCCAACGACATCCCGACGCAGGAGAAATTCAGCCAGGTACACTTTGACTAGCGACTTTGACTAGCGACTTTGACTATCATTCTTGACCGCTGCTCTGCTCTCGCTCACTCGGCTGCAGGCTCTCTACTGGAAGGGCCTCAACTACTCGACGCTCTGCAGGCTGGGAGGAACGGAGCGTTGCTCAGCCGAGATGTCTTGCGCCACTGCACGCGAGGCTCTTGACAAGTGCTTGTCCGTCCGCAAGTCAATCAAGGCAGCTGCGGCGAAGATCGCGGAGGTTCAGTTCGCCCGCGGTGTGCTCACTTTCTGCATGGCAGAAGCGCTCGCGGCAGGTCAGGCCTCCTCCTCCTCCTCCTCCTCCTCCTCCTCCTCCTCCTCCTCCTCCCTCTTGCAGCATCGCTGCCACCATCACCACGTCTTCCTCTTCCTGCTTCTCAGCAGCGACCTCCCTGTCTCCTCTGACTTCCCCTGCTGCTTCGCCCTCCCTCACCTTTTCCCCTCTCACGCTCCATGGCTGACTCTGTCATGCTCCCCCTCCAGGCCACCTGTACAAGGGGACGCCCAACAAGGAAGCGGCGGCGCAAGGGCTGTACGCAGAGGCGCTCCAGCTGTTCCAGGAGGTCTACGACGACTGGAAATCCCGCCTCGGAGAGACTTCGCTGGAGACTGTCAAGGCCATCACTATGCTCGGCACCGTGAGCAACAAGCTGCGCGGGCCCGAAGCAGCGATCGAGTGGTCGAAGAAGGAGGTCCAGATACGCGAGGAGGTGCAGGGGAAGCTGCACCCGAGGACGCAGCAGGCGAGGAGGAACTACGCGATGCTGCTAGAGCAGCTGTCGGCCCCCTCCGGCAACCGCCCAAGGACAGAGGAGACCAACCCCATCCCGCAGGCCTTCGCGACCCCCGTGGTGAAAGGTGAAGACGCGGGGGCGAAGAAGCCAAGGGAGGGAGAAGAAGCTCCTGGCAAGGTGAAGCAGGAGGGAGAAGATCGCTCGGGCGCCATGTCTGCGCTCATCGACCTTGTTGAGGTACCCGCCCTTGTCCTCCTCCTCCCTCCTCTACCCTTCCACCTGAAAGCTCCACTAGCTCCTCCTCCCTCCTTTATCCTTCCACCTGAAAGCTCCACTAGCTCCTCCTCCCTCCTCTACCCTTCCACCTGAAAGCTCCACTAGCACCTCCTCCCTCGCCCCGTCCTTGCTCCTCTCTCCCCCGCTACTTGTGCTTACCAGGTCGCAGAAGGAATATCCCGGTGACAAGGTCAAGAAGGAGAAGCCCGAGGCTGCAGGTGGCGACGCGAGTGACGCTGCCGCCGTTGGTGGGGCCGACCAGGATCGAGCGAACGAGCCCTCGAGCGGGAAGAGGAAGATGTCATCGGACGAGGCTGAGCGCAGCCAAGAGGGCTCCAAGGAGAAGAGGAAGAAGTCGGAGAGCGAGGAACCCAAGGCAGAAGCAGCTGCTGATCATGCGAGCGAGGACTCGGATGAGGGAGGCCTCGAGATCGATGAAGGAGACGAGGATGAAGAGAAAGAGGCGAAGACGCAGGCCAGCGTGAAGCCGAACAAGGAACAGGAATCGTCCGCTGTGGAAGGAGAGGATGCTGCTGCTGTACCGAACTCCGAGGAACTGAAGCAGTCGGCAACAAAAGTTGCTGAGGATGCGAAGATGGCAGAGTCGCAGGAGGAGAAGGCGCAGGACTCCTCCAAGAAGGAGGAGGAGGCAGAGACCCAACCTGATCCTCACTCCGGAATTAAGCCGGCCACCAAGAGCCAGGAGGAGGCTGACGAGGACGAGGATGTTGATGACGATGATGATGACGATGAGGACGAGTGAAAGGAGAGCTGCTGTAAGCGCCTGATTTCCTGCTCTTGCACGCAAACATATCAAGTTAAGGAATAAATCTCTAGATATTGTCCTCCCCCTGCCACCTTTCGCTCTTCCTACACCCTCCTCCTCCTTGTCTCCCCTCTCTCTCCCTCCCTTTCCTCCAAGCAACATTAGTGAGGGCCAGGGCAGCCGAATCCTCCAGGGTGAGACATGCAGTCGATGCTATCTCCCTTCACTCCTGCCAGTCAGCTCAGCGAGTCGCGCACACGAGGACAGGAACAAGTCGCACTGGAGTAGATCTGAGAGTGGAGACCGGTGAAGCTGCTGCTGTCCGACGGCATGCTGCGAGTCGCGCGGTGAGGCGGCAGGCGGAGGAGCAGCAGAGGATGCGGACGGGCAGTAAGATATTCAGCGAGAGTGGCAGGGAAGAGGAAAACATAACAGCAGGAGCAGATGGGAGTAAGAAACGTTATCAAGAACAGGGAAGGAGGAGGAACAGGAATACATGGGAAGGGAGAGGGGCAGGGACAGGAACAGGAGAGGAGATCAGCAAGAACTCCCCGCAGGGGCAGAGGGCAGGAATCAAGGAAGGAAGAGGGAAATACCTCATCCCGTGGTTGGACGCGTGCATGTCCCATCGGACATGCAACGATTGCTTCCATTCGGCATGAACAGCGGGGGGGACAGGCACTGAGCACATGGGGCAGCCGGGAACCTCGGAAAGAGCCTGAGGTCTGAGGAAGGGGTATCAGCTTGCTGTTTTGAGCCCTGCCTGACTGTTTAAGCGCGCCCTCTCTCCCTTTCTCCTTCCCTCGTTGTCAAGCTCCCCCTGCACCTGCCCCTGCCTCTGCCTATGACCCCACCACTGTCAATGTTATTGGTCGTGCATCAATTCGCATCTACCACATCATCATTGTTGCTTCTACACCAAATAACCACCCTGATTGTCTCAATATTCACTGTCATTCATGTTTTCATCATGAACGTTATCATCATCACCATCACCATCACCACCCTTTTCATCATTATCTACTCCAACGTTATCTTTCACTTTCGTAAGATCTCATCCTCATCCTGTCGTCCCTCTGCCACCTCATAATCGACACCATCATCACCATCACCAACCATCACCATCATCAACCCCATCATCGTTATCATCATCATCATCATCATCATCACCATCACCATCATCATCATCATCATTCCCATCACCACCACCATCGTCATCGTCATCGTCATCGTCATCATCGTCGTCGTCGTCGTAATCCTCTTCCTCCTCCTCTTCCTCCTCCTCTTCCTCCTCCTCTTCCTCCTCCTCCTCCTCCTCCTCCTCCTCCTCCTCATCATCATCATCATCATCATCATCATCATCATCCGTATCATCACCACCATCACCATCTCATCCTCCTCCTCCTCTTCCTCCTCCTCGGACTTTGTCTCTTCCTCCTCCTTCTCCTCCTTCTTCTTCTCCTCGTTCTCATCCTCCTCCCTTCTATGCTTCCTCACCTTCCTGGCGTGTGCCTTACGCTGTCGCCTAGGACTGCCACCGCAGCAGCGAACATCGCCCGAACCTTCGAGTCTGATCTATTTTGATACGTAACGGATATCCTAATGACGGTTAAAGTGTCACCACGAAGTTCTGCCGGCCCCGGGGCCCGGCGGGGCCTGGACCGGGGCCTGGCGCCGGGCCGGATGCCGAACTCGTGGGGGACTGAGAAGGAGCTCCGTGACGCGAGCAGCGGCGGTGTCACATCACGGAGTTCATTTCCCGGTAGTATAATATGAAAAGAAGTGTTTTCAGAAACAACGGGGACTTGGCCGCTGTGTGAAGCAGGCTGACAACTTCCTTATCGGTAGCTCCTGCTATCATGATGACAGCTCGAAAACGAAAAGACGCTATTTCAGAGAATCCTTTTCCGTACGTCATCAAGTTGACCATCTGGCAACAAATGACGTTCCTATTGGTTTGAGCCCCACCCCTTTCATCCATTCTAGTACCCCGTCCTTCACCGTTGACCCCACCCTGATTCCGAAGAAATCTATATCTGAAACTACCCCACCCCCCGTAAAAATGTTCACTCCTAGTATTCGTAATTCAATTTCCCCCCACACGGTCAGCTCAAGTTCCGTCCGGTGACGGAAAACCCCCCACCCCTCCTTTTAACTATCAGGTACCCCCTTAACCCATCCGTCCCCTTGTGACTTGAAACGTTCCGCCAGGGTTGGTCACTCCACCAACGCTACCTTGAGCCTGCCAACTCTTTCGAGAGCACTTGTTTGACTACCCAGCGTTTTTCAGCGATACCACCCTCAAGGAGTGCAGGTACCCTGAGTTAATCGAGGGCTGTTAATCGGAAGGACTTGACTTTGGTGCCTTGTAAATCTTGACTTAGAAATCTACGGCCCCTGGACATCTGGTTTTCCCCTTTTAAATTCATCTTTCCTTGCAGTTAATATATTCTTAATCTTTTAACTACATCAAATACTATTCTATTGCTGGTTGGCGCCAGGAATTCTTGTGCTGACAGCATTACTAGCACAGACAGTGAAGTCTATCTTCCTATAAGCCCCACCCCCACCCCCTTATGCACTACCCGTCCCATGAAGAGGATCGCTACACAACTGACCACCCCACCATCTATCCTTCTTATCAATCATCTGTTGAGAATCTTACTACCCTACCTGCTCAATGGTGATATTCTATCCATAGATGGACCGGTACATAAAACTTTAAGTTGATTTCCCCTAATCCAGTTTGCACCTGGTCTCTGCACACCCGAACTGTTCATTCACTACCCCTCCTTTTCCCATCAAGAATGTACCCCCACCCCACCATGTTACCCCTTGCCCAAAGGGGTTTCGTTTCCCCGACAAACTTTCGTCGCTTGCTGTCATCACGTGAAGATTATCCCGATTCCTTCCGTCCCTCAATACAACTCCTCCTCCTCCTCCCTTCCTTGTCCTGCTGTCGTTCCATACCCCTCCCTCCTACACTCTCTTCCCCTTTGCCTCCTTTTCTTGTTTTCCCTTCCCCTATTCCTTCCCACGCATTGCTAAAACTCAGCCATTCCTCGGACAACTATACACCATTCAGAACAGGTTAGACTGAGGATCAAGAACAAGCTTGCACAACAGTGCTGATCAAACCATGAACGGAAAAAGAAATCGAAGTGAGTTGGAAGATGACACACTAAATAAATGCCAGAAGAAATTGAAAAGTAGCCACAAAGTAACTTTTGCTGGAGTTACCACCAGCCGGTCTGTAATCATAGAGGAGGATCTTGAAGACGAAAACAAGATTTCGATAGAGCGAATCTGCCAAGTTTCGGAACCTCATCATCAGGAGAAATGCAAAATAATCGACAACATGATGTTCACAAAGAAGCAAGACGGGCCTGCAGATGCACAGGTCATTGTGTTGAAGCTGCTCGAGGGGTTGGTGAAGAGGAAGATAAACAACGCCTCTGACGTCTTAAAATGTGTGATTACATGCCTGCTGAGGAAGAACATGCCGATCGATGCAAAGAAAGAAAACGATAAGGACGGGGTGGACGAGATGAGCGATGACATTCTATGGTGCGTTGGAAAGGGGCTGGCAAGCACTGGGCTGTTCGAGCAAGTAGCGGATCGCCTCAAGTCAATAGCTACGCGTGTCAAGGCAAACAAGATCGTTGGAATCCTTCCTGGAACAACAAGGTTGGACGCAACGTTTCTTGAGCCCCTGAAGTTCTTGTACATCCACGTCAAGAAATGTGGGTATTACCTGGAGAAGTCAAGGACTTCTGTTAGCGAGACTCCGACATTGCCCACGTTCTGCGGTCACCCTGACGTGATGGAAAGGAAGACTATTGTGATTGCACATTAGAAGACTCGTACGAGTTCCTAAAGCCTTAACGGTTGCTGGAAGCCTGACTTTGGAGAAAGTTTTCAAGTTTCGTTTTCAAACATTTTTTCTCAGACAAACTTCTGTATTTTCACATGCCTACTACAAACTTTGAAAGTTGTAATTTTACCATGATAAATTCATCTCGAAGTACTGCAATGGCCGACACAACGACAGTGACGGTGGCATCATTCATCATCTCAATTTCATAGCATCCAAAGTTTCAGTATCACTTCAAGTCAACTCGTAGCGCTACGGTACCGTACGAAGTGCCAAACCCTAAGCCTTTTTATTCAAAGTGAAGTTAAAAACCAGTACGAGGACAATCAGCAGAGTTGAGGAGTAGCTTGCCACCTTCAGGGCCTGAGGCCGCGCCACTCAGCCGGCCGCCGGGCCTGTCGCAGGCTAACCGGCGTCCGATCGTTGAACCGCGAAGTCACAAGAAAAGTTCATGTACAGTGTCCGGGCACCAGGCTCACTGGGCCGGCCGGGCCCGGGCCGGGGCCCGCCCAACCGCCGGCGGGGCCGCCGGCCGGGCCGGGCAGGCTCCGGGCGGCCGTCGAAAGGCGCCCGCCAGCCTCGCGGCCGGGCGAGCTCGGAGGCTCAGGGCCGGCCTGAGGCTCTACGGACTCGCCGCCGGGGACTCCCGGCGGAACTTCCGAACTTCGGAGGCCCGAGCCTCCGGCCCGGCCGGCGCCGCGAACTTCATTCCATTGGGTTCTCGACTGGATTTGTTTCACGGTACCAGGCTAGCCTGTTTGTACCGAGGTATAATTGAGTTTTACCGGGTTCAAGGATTTTTGTATCAGGATCCCCTTTTCCCCTCCGTACTAAGTTTGTACTGTCAATGTCAGCATTTCCCGTGGGCTGGCAGAGCTCCCTCGACTATCACCTCTACACTGTGACACCACCCGTATGTTTCAGAAGAGATGAAGTCAGGGTAGGTAGTCTGAATTCAGGAGTGGGCGAGAATCATAAAAGTCTTGGGCATTCTGGTAGTGGAATTGACGCTGAAAAGCAATCTCTTCGATTGCCGTTAGGATTCGAACGCGTGGTCAAACAGCACCCACCTGAGCTAGAGTCTTATACTCGAGGGGGGTGGCCGCGATGTGGGTTTGAATCGCCACGCCTTTGACCCCATTATTTCCACTCCAAACCTCCTTGTCGCGTAGGGTGGGTCACACTCTCGAGCGTTGCGAGTTTTACGGTTCGAATTTGACCAAGGTTCACCCTCTACCCCCCAGTCTCTGAATTTCAAATGGGAAAATGATGGGTAGGGGGTCCCCCCATTTGTCTCCACTCCAGCCCCCCCCTCCCTCGACGAACAAGAGATGGTGAGATTGTCCCATTGACGCGCGTAAGGACGATAATGAACAATGTGAGACTTCGAATCCAACCATGCATTGATATGCAGGAAACGAAGATACGGTTACTTGTCTATTTGTGATGACTTGGTCTCTTCTGTGAAATTCAAGAAGTAGCAAGAGATTTGAACTCAACATCTCTTCCTCAACATAAAGCCAATGCAACATCTCTATCATTACCACGCTGCCTCAAATTGCACTAAGACCACTTAGATCACTTAGCTTAGGCCGAAGATGATGTTAAAGCTGAGCAAAAAATTCAAATTCTTGCACAATGACGATTCATTCAAAATGTTCAAGTGTAATTTCAGAATGGACAGAAGATGGCATAGCAACAGCCGATCTCAGCATGTATTTTGAAACTGTGATGGTAAGCAAAAACATCATACGAAATAGTGTCTACCTTGTGTTTCTCTCTGTCTCATGGTCTACGGTATCCTTCGTGGCACAAACCCATGTGGCCAGTGAGTTGCATCGGGAACACTGTAGATGTGCTGATTGGACAATGGCAGGTACATGATATGGTTGGCGATATTTAGAGTTTTAAGAAGATAATCGTTTGTATCAGATGCTTGCTTCAGACGTGTCGATATGAGATTCCTTTCTACGCTGATAATCACGGCAGTGAATCGTATCATCGTGTTACTGCGGCATTGCCGATGATGTTGATGAAGCATGTTTCATGACAACCCGTGCAAATGCTTATTCTCTCTGCAAATCCTGTCTCGCATTTGCTCCAACCATGCAATTTCAGGAAAGTGTCTTGCACACTCCGAGATAGTATTGCATGTTTGACATCTAGGCTGTGATACCAGGGATCAAGCGATATATAGAGTAGGCAGAGGCTGTATCAGTCATGCAAACTTGAATCTGCGTAACAACAGTTTCTGAAGATTGTTTATTTGTTTATTTGCCAACAAATAAAAGATTCTTCACCATGATGGTGATTACTGTGGTCCCTTGTATACAACAGCTCTGAAGCAGCATTGTCCTGGTAGTAGCGGCTCACAGAACACAAAGCACGCAAAGGACAGGAGGAACTTCGGGAGGATGTCACAGTAGACCGTATAACACTCTGAGATACACTCATCAAAAGAAGGAGATGCAAACAAATAGAATGATGTTGCATGCAAATCGAAACAGAGGTGCCAGGATCCTAAATGAATCATGTTGGCAACAAGGTTTGAATTTTCACCAAAGATAATTGAAACTCTACTGATCACAATAGGGATGACAATGAGGATGTGTAAACAATCACATCTGCTAAGCGTTGCTATTTGTTGCCAAGCAGAAACGCACTTGTGAACAACCTGGCATAGATCACCGTGATCTTCATGATAGCGGATTCAACAACCAGGAGTTAAAAGAACCCGTAAGCCCAGGGTGCTATTTGTCCATCGAACTTCAATCGAACTCTGAAGTTGAGATAGGAAGGAACTTTGAATCTTCAAGATCAGGGGTTTATGTAAACTGGAAGGTGGCACATCTTGAAAGTCAATGTTTTCATTGGAGGACATATTATCTCCATTTCTTCTAGTCTCGATGCCTCTCAACGCAGCTGATTGTGGGCTTATGCGTGTTGCAACCCCAGGAAACAATCATCGTTGGCGCGACATGTGTGCCCGACCCATTGCGTCTGATTATAAAATGTAACCAATCTGATTTCACACATCCAAAATATTTGCTAACACTTTGAAATTTGAAGGGAATGTTTGTTTGTTTGTCCGTACTGTTCGTTTGTTTGTTTGTCCGTACTGTTCGTTTGTTTGTTTGTCCGTACTGTTCGTTTGTTTGTTTGTCCGTACTGTTCGTTTGTTTGTTTGTCCGTACTGTTCGTTTGTTTGTTTGTCCGTACTGTTCGTTTGTTTGTTTGTCCGTACTGTTCGTTTGTTTGTTTGTCCGTACTGTTCGTTTGTTTGTTTGTCCGTACTGTTCGTTCGTTCGTTTGTCCGTACTGTTTGTTTGTTCGTTTGTCCGTACTGTTTGTTTGTTCGTTTGTCCGTACTGTTCGTTTGTTCGTTTGTCCGTTCTGTTTGTTTGTTCGTTTGTCCGTACTGTTTGTTTGTTTGTTTGTCTGTACATGACAACATGGCGGTCATGGAGATCTACTGGTACACTCGTTGTGTAAGTAAGTGCGCTGGTCTGACTGTATGGTCTGAGCACTGCAGCTTGCGCATGCACATCAAGAGCATGGACGCTGAGTGGAAGCACAACTATGGGTAAACGGGTCAGTACAGAGATAAGATCAGAGATGTCATCGAAGAATGCAAGCTCGACGCTGAAGTAAAATTGTTGTTGTTGGTATTGTTGTTGTTGTTGTTGTTGTTGTATCATGAGGATGAGGATGAGGATGAGGATGAGGATGAGGATGAGGATGAGGGTGATATGGTGGCGGGAAGCCTGGGGATGCTACCATTCGAACGGCATCTCAGCTATGCCCTGACCTTATCAAGCTCCCTGAGCGCGAAAGCGGGAGGCAAGGGCTGGCTGGTGGTGGAGGAGAAACATGCGATCTGGGACTTCCTCAAACGCCGCTGCCTCGATATCGATGCCCGCACGAGGATGACTGCACAGGAGGCTCTGAGGCATCCCTTCCTCGCTAGTGGTATCAAGTAAACCGCCTCTACCCGAAGCTTTCTCCTTCCTCGCCTCTCCTCCAAGCCCTCCTCCCTTCCTCGCTAGTGGTCTTGAGTGAACCGTCTCTCCTCTGGCATCTCCCAGTCTCTCGCGATCAGCATATCAATAATTCCCAGGCTTCGCTTTTCCTTCCAACCCCTCCTATCCCCTCTCCTTCCCCCCTCCCCCCTCCCCTCATCTCTCCTCCCCCAGCCTCTCAAACTCCAATGACATGTTACAACCGCCATGCCACTGGCTGTTGAGAGCATTTCACAAGACTCAAACTGTTGTGGAATGCGTTGGGAGAAGCCTCAAAAAACGCAATCATGGCAAAGCACCAGCAAGTCTCTTGAAATATGTTTCATATACAACCGACGAAGCATTCTGGTACAGGAAGCTAGGCCGTCATCGCAATAAGGAGAATCGCATTTCCTTTATGTCTTCGAAGGTTGCCTCTCTCATCGATTCCTTTCATGTTTCCCTTCTGAAAGTGTGAAAACAGCTGATCAGGGCTTTGGAACATCAGAATTGAGGTGTTTCAGTGCAAGTATGACAAGGAAAGTCACACAATTATTGGATAGCGTGAGCATGCAAATTTGAATGCGTACCTTACAAGTCAATGCACAGTTACAACTATGCTCACAATGCTTCAAAGCATATTTGCATTTACACGCAACTCAACGAACTGAGATTCAAATATTTCCTTTCCACAAAATTCTTATTGCAACATGATATGCATCATCCTCAAAACACTCTGCTTAAAGGAAATGCAGTCGTTTTCCCACATGATACATTCAAATCTGGTCAAATTTGGCATCAAAAGATGTTCTTGTCATCACAATGATGTATTCATCTCACAACATGGTGCCCACAGGGCGCGATCTGCTTGAACGTGAGTCTCCCAAACTGACACCGTGTACAACATTGGTACATTCTGTACAACGTTTAAATTCTAGAAATGGCACGGTGCTGGCAGGATCCCACAATTTGAAATGGCGTGGTTTGACAGAAGTAAAACATTTCAAGGAAAATTTTCACTTTGAAATCCAAAACCTATTCATTAAGAAAAATCCAGGTAGAAAAAGACCCCGCCGAGACGGAATAAAATCCAGTTGAGAACCCAATGGAATGCGACCGGGACTCCGGGAGCCTCAGTGCCACGGCCGGTGATCGGATCATCCGAGCCTGTGAGTCAGAACATCGGAAAGGCTCAGTGAGTCAGGCCGGACTGGAAGCCTTGCCAAGCCTCCGGCAGCTTGAAAGTTCATCCGACCGTCGTCCGACCGTGGCACTACCGTATTGACCGTGACCGTCCGACTCGGAACTATCAGTGATCGGACCTGAGTCAACCGTTGCACCGCCGCCGGGCCGTCACAGCGGCCCCCCCGCGGCGCGGCCGGCGCCCGGCCGGGCCCGGGGCCGGGCCCGACTGACACCGTCAGGCTGATCGGACTTGGCAAGGACCGACACGTTCTTTCGTGACTCAACTTGCCAAAGTTAAGTTAAGTCGAGCCTCCGAGGCTTGACCCTGACACTGTCGCACAGGCCAAACGGCGAGAAGAGGCTTGAAAAGACAGCGACTCAGAACCAAACCCAATCGGAGTCCTGCCAACTGCTGTCCCCACCGTTAGTTCAATCACCATGCGGTATCAACTTTCACACCCGGCGGGCAGTGACCCGCTAGCCGCTTTTGACTCAGTACTCAAAGTACCCCCCCCGCCGCTGTGGGGCTCGTTACCCGCTGTCAGTGTGTGGCTCGTGACGCGCATCCGGCGCGGTGACTGGCACGGCGTGAGGAACTTCGGAAGTCCGTGAGCCACTGCGGTAAATTTCATGACTGTCAGAGGCTCGTGACAGGGTCCGACTGTCTCGGAGTCCGATGCCCAACCGTTGCATTTTAATCAGTTGGTAGGCATGTCCACTGTCAGCAAGCGACTGCCTGCGAATCTTTTACCGGGTGGCTTTACTCCTTGTACGGGTCATTCCGCTCATGTCAGGCTTTACTACACAATTCATCAAGGGTCCGTTAACGATAAACCTTATCTGCTTCGGCCTTTTTGGGCAGGACGATCTTAAGACCACTCCCACTCCCCTTACAAATCCCCTTTCCCTAGTTCTTGTCCGCAAGCTTCCCCCGGTTCACCAAACTCAGCCATGCGTGCCATGCAGTCCTCGACCTCGCCTCTATGCAAGGACGCGTTCGAGGAGTTCTTCGGACACTGTCCTCTGACGGCACCGGTCACCACCACCAGCAACCTCATGACGGAGTTTCACCTAAGCGATAGCTCCGATTCGTGGATCGACGACTTTGAGAGCCTGGAGAGCGTGATTGAGTTCATGAACGAAAAGAAGTATACGAGGGCTCAATTCTCGGATGGTGCTTCGATTGGAAGAAGCAGGAGTGTCAGGTCAAGGAACACAGGGTGCCAGCCCCAACCTTCATACGTCAAAGGGTGAATTATCACATTGCGTGTTAAGTTGTATTTTTTATTCTTATGTACATTGAGTTAAGAGTGTTTGGACAGCAACACCGTTTGTTGTTCTGCATGTAGGACTGTTTTCTTCTGTTTTTTTTGAGTTCAATGCTGTAACGCGTGATCTCTAAACAAATAAACCCGCGATTACGATTACAAACAGTCTCATGTCTTCAAAGCTGCAATACATCCTGAACATTGCTTCACTTTCCCAACTCTGAAATGATGCTGCATCATGAAGATACCATCGTACCGAAATCGACTAGTGCTGGGATCCCTGATCTCGAGTCGATGTGAATCAGATTCCCAGAAATGATTCCGATGAAGTTAGTGTTGACAACTCCTCATCTAGACCCATAACTCAGCCTCGATACAAGAGCTTCAATTCTTCTTCTGCAGACATAAGAATCTCTTTTGGCTTTTGGCCACACGCTTCTTTGATGTACTTCAACTACTACATACTCAATATTTACAGAACCGGAAGGAATTAGCTACAAACCTTCATCAGGTTATGACTGGTTTGGCATTCATCTTTTACAACACTATGGACGTACACACTTGAATGAAAGATAATTTTTTTCTTTCAAAAACACCAGTTTCATATAAGATATCAATCACACCTCAATGACTCATGGCTGTTTTGAAAACACGATGCTCTGGGTGGTTGACCCTTTAGTTTCTGTGCTGGCAGGCTGTAGATAGAGACGTTTCCAGAGAGAATGCGGGGGACAGCATCCTTGCATGCATGCTGATGCTGATGCATATCAACAGGTTGGCACGATCTTGAAGCAGTGTTGGACTTGCCTATCGGACTCTTTTAGCTTCTTATGCTTCCTGAGTTGCTGATCCTCAGGGTTGTGCTTTCAGAGTTCGTTGTTGACTCTGATTCCACGGTTGTAGTCCAGGATAACAACTTGGGGCCAGGTTCTTCAAAGCATCTCACTGCAAGAATTACCAGGAGCCAAGCAGAAACACGCCTCTACATTAGAAGAGCAAAGGACCATTCTTTATGTCAAACTGTACTGCTGGTGAGACGATATGTCTTGATCGTCATCAATCTGTATGAAAGCACTGATTGGATCGTGACAGACAGGCCCTCGAAGCTCAGCTTCCTTCCCTGCTCTCCTCTTCCCACAGCCCGAGATGGCGGCAAACGGTTCAACACGCCATTTCAAAAGTTTGACCAGGTTAGCTGATATGTTTACTCAATAGATCGGGTGTAGGATCCTATCTGCGGTTTACTCCTATGACTGGCATGTCCGACGCAGAGATATTCAGACGGTTACAACGAGTAACGGAAATTCCAGCCCAAGGGCTGCACTCTTGCATTCAAGACCAAATATCACCCTTTCAATGTCAATTGGGTTGGACTATGGTATAAGAATACACAGCTGAGGCTTTAAGACGATATGTGATAGGTTGGTAGTGGGCGGGTTGCAGAAGGTTTCTAGAGTCGCTGCTGACCAAGCGATGCACTCTTGGTTTGACACCTTCTGCATCGCTTTCATCGAATCTCCTGCGATCTCCGAAGGCTCGGCACTCATGGCACACTGATCACACAGTTGAAGGAGGGTGGGGCTAAAGGTGCAGAGTTTTATAATCAGGCCACTAGGATCAAATGCGCCTGGCGTCTTGTATGACCTGATGTTGAAGCACCTGATAGGAGGAAGCTTCACCTCAGACAATGCCAAGTAATCGACGTGGCTCAAGTGCACAGATGCTTAGAGCCTCGGAATGCATCCCTGGAGAGGACAGCAACAGCTACAATAAGGACGACGTAGGAGAATCATGAAGAAGACAGCAAGAACCTAGGACTCGTGGATGGCAGCAGGAGATAAGCGAGTCAGCTTATACCAATCCACGACAAGACAGAGGGGACACGGGCCTGGACATGCGACTAGGGGCATGAGGCACGATCCCGGGACTCGTATGTATGACAACAGTCGTGTTGCATTGCTGGAGGAAAAACTCGATATTTTGACAGACCGACTGATGGAGAGACTTGCTCCTGATCATTCCAGCCGGACAGAAGTATCAGTGTCGCGGAGACAAGCCGCTCCTCAAGCAAATGAGAGGAGGGTCCTGTACCTGACAGATGGTCGATCGGCAGTGGACGATGTGGCCTTGATAGGTCAGGCACCAGCAACCTCGGATAGGAGAACAAGAAATGTGAGCCAGAGGCTTGGCGAACGAGAAGAAGTGGATTCTTGTCAGGAAGCCTCAGATACAGATAATCCATTTCAATCAGGTGACATTCATGTACGACGAGTTATGCGCAGGGTGCACGTCTGCCTTGATATCGAAAAATTGCTCAGAGCTAAGGCGTTCCTGAACGTACACTTACCGGGTTGTCACCATATGCTACTCGATACCGGAGCTAATATCAGTCTCTGCGGTGACAGATCTCTATTGACGAATGTGCGTAAAAGTCTACAAGCCACTGTTGTCAGCACAGCCAGCGGGGAGACATTCACGTGCGAGGAAGAAGGAGAAATGAGAGTGCAATGTGCAATTACAAGCAATGGAAATGTTACTATCGCACACACATTCGTAATCACAGCAATGGTCTGTGCGGAGACTCCGCTCACCATCTTTTCAATGAGTCAATTTCTTGGAGAAGAGACAACTGTGGAACTGTCAGGGAAGTCAACTGGATCTTGGGTTCGTATGCCAGATAACTTACTGTTACCTGTACACCTTTGGGAGGGAATCTATGTGCTTAAAGCAGCAGTTGATAAGTCTCGACACTCACTTGTCATCGCAGCACAGTCAAGCAGCCGTAATACTGAGGCAGCGGCCCTACTGACAAAGTGTGCAGCAGAGCCCTCCACTGCTGAAGAAGACAAGATATCACTGAAATCCTTGAGCAGCAAGGACATTCCAGCCTCCCCATTCAACCCAATTCCAACCATTCTGTGGCACTGGAGACTTGGGCATACGTCAGGCAGAGTTCAAAGGATGTTGGCAAAAGGAAACAACAAAGTGACATGCAGTTCAACCCATCGCACAGCAGCTCCTTGTCACGTTTGTCAAACCAGCAAATTCTCAAAGCTACCTATCAAAACCCAAGGCGGTTACCGACAAGACAGAGCCGAAAGGATTAATAGCCAGTGGAATGTGGATTTGAAAGACATGGGGACAGTATCGGAGCCAGGAAGATTTCGTTACTTCTTAGTCGTCGTCGATGCCTACAGTGGATTTATTATTACGATTCCGTTAACGTCAAAAGGCGAAACTAAGGAAGTCATGCAGAGTTTGATCTTGCAGGAAGAACGTTCAGGCCGACCAGCAGTCATAACAGTAGTCAGCGACAATGGCTCAGAGTTCGCAAACCTACAGTTGCAATCATTCGTGAAGATGAAGGGGATTATCTGGAATTTTACCCCGGACTACACAAGTGCTGCCAACGGTCGAGCAGAGAGGGCGATCCGAACAGTGACTACCATCCATCGAGCAATCTCGTACCAAGCACAAGTCCCGCAGCGCTTCTGGCACTTCTCCGTCCAACAAGCAACGCTGATCTTCAACAGTTTACCCAACCTGACGAATCGGGACGGCCTCTCTCCATGGCAACTTTATCAGGGACGAGAATTCGACTATGATAAACTGAAGGTATTCGGATGTACGGTATTTGTTGCCAACGAGGAGAAATTGAAGAATGATATGCCTGCTATTACTGCTGTTAACCTGGGAAATTCAGAGGCTCACATGGGTTACCAGCCAGGGTACTTGGTATTCAATCCAGCTACCAACAAGGTGATACATACGCGACAAGCAAGATTTGATGAGACCTTCTTTCATTTCAGAAGGACCAGTAGACTGCATCTACCCCCAGGACAGGAGTATGGTGGACTGCGCGAGGAGGATGAACATTGCTCAACTCAGAATGATCATGGAGCAACCAGCTCGGAAGCCTCGGATGGCAGTATGGCAGAGTCCAGTGAAGACGATGGACACGATGCAGACTGGCAACCTGAACCGTCCGCAGATCAGAAGCAATCGATAACTGCTGGGGAATCTGTGCTGGGAAGCGAGGACGGCGAAGTCGGCAGAAAACGTACAAGAAGCGATTTTCGATCGGATCGAACCTTAATGGAACGGCAGTATGTCAACCGCAAAGTAACATATGGAACAAGGGCGGCGACGATAACGCAGATTGTGTTCAGAAACGGGGCATTTTACTTGAAAATCAAATATGACGATTCAGACAATGATTGGATTATTGTTCCTACAACGGACCCGAAACTACGTCTGACTTCTGAACGCGTGAATCTGGTCACAATGATTCGTTCTAGACGGTCAGGAAGCCAATCGACCTTGACAGGAATGTTTAATCAATCCCGGACGGCAGAAACGGCCTATTCTTTCTGTGCAAGGGGAATATCTCAGCCTGCCGAGGACGACAGTAACCAGACGAACGTCGGGCCGGAGCAAGCGTCTCACAGCAAAATGCTGACAGCCTACATGTGTAAATTCATGGATGTCTCAGAAGCTCAGGGAAATACAGTTCAATTATTGCAGACAAGTGCGGCAGACAATTCGGCCAGCAGCAGGATCGACACTACCGGTAGAATCCAAGCTCCGAAGACCAGAAAGCAAATGTTGCTGAGCGCAGAAAGACACCAATGGTTGCAAGCTGAGCTTAAAGAACTCAACAGTATGAAGGAAAAGGGAGTGTGGGAAGACGTGGATTATCCCAGCAACCGAAAGGCGAAGATCGCTCCATTCCAATGGGTGTATACTTTGAAATACAATACTGAAGGTGAGATTGCGAAATTTAAGGCGAGGTTGGTCATCCTGGGCAATCTAGTTCCCACTGATGGTCCAGTATATGCTCCAACGTCAGATTTCCAGAACGTTAGGCTCATTTGTGCAATTGCCGCTGGAAACGCCTGGTTGTTGACGATGCGAGATATTTCGACCGCGTTTTTGAATGCAGATATCGACGAGGAAATTTACATGTTACCTCCAGAACAGCTCGCCTTACCAAGGGGAAGACTACTTCGTCTGAAGAAAAGCCTGTATGGCCTGTCAACCAGCCCGCGGAGTTGGTTCAAATGTTTCACGAAGACTCTGAAGAAGATGGGATGTCGTCTAGTCGGCGTCGACGAGGTACTTTTTGTCTACGAGAATGCCAGTGGTCATCGAATCATTGGGACCATCTTCGTTGACGATATTTTGCTGGCTTCTCAGTCAGAAGCAATCTTGTCTGAATTTCTGCTCAAACTCTCTGACCATTTTGAATTTTCCGAGTCCCCTCAGGCGACTGGAACATTCCTGGGAGTCAAAATAACACAAGACTTGGCTAAAGGCACTGTCGAGCTCAACCAGACACATTTTATCCATCAGATTGTTGAGCGATTCGAAATACCTCAAAAGTCAGTGCGAAGCGTCTTACCACAAGATTATGTCTCCTCCTACCACCTAGAGGATGATCTGGTGTTGAATGAGAAGCAAATTCGACTGTACCAAGCTCTGCTAG